CACACACACTATGGGACATACATATTCACAAATGCCACCTATATCATGTTGATAACATCTAACTGACATGTTGGACGACTGACGCCGAGTGTTTCAGCAGATGGTCGCCCACGCTGACTCATGTGATACAGAGAAGCAGGTGATGCATCTGGAGTGGAGTGATGATCAGGATGGATCAGTTGCAAAACATTTAATTGCATTTCGTTCTATATTTCAATATGGGTCTGCTAGTATGTATACAAAATAAATATGTTCGGTCAGAAAATTAACACATGATCAGATTTCAAAACCTATTTTAAGTGGAAATATGCAGCACGCGGGGTTTTCATCAGATGCACGTAAATGCTGTTGCCACACTAATCCTCCCGAGGAAACGTCTCCACTACAAGGTTCCAGGGTATTCGAACTGACGGAGGGACAGACTGATTTAGTCGAAGTGTTTTCAAATTTCGACCAAGCCAACAATTGTTGTCGTATTTTCTTCGTTTCGTGATGTTGATGAAATATTACAAAAACGGCGTAAAACAATACTCAGTGGCTACGGGTCGGATCCTAGTCAATGTAAACCATGACACCAGGTCGAGAACACCAGGATGCTCTTCCTTAATTTACGATGCCCGGCGTAGAAGGAGACAAAATCGACCAATGGTTTTCGTTAAATGTAGGTCATGAAACCCTGACTGTGTGGCCAGTGCTCATGACATCAGCCACTGGTTTGCTAGTTTACATGCTGTCATCTGGTAGATGAGTTATTAATGAATGTGCGTTAGATATTTGCAAAAATATGGTATTGCAGTGTCTGTTTTAAAACAAGGTGTTAATGTATTGGGTACGGTTTACTGCATAACATGACGTAGACCAGAATTAAATTTCTGTAACTTTACGATAAATACGTCACTTTACACAGGGGTGGTTGGGTGGTAAGGCGTTCGCTCGTCACGCCGAAGTTCGATTTCCCACGATACTATGTGTGAAGCCTATTTGTGAATATGTCCTGAATATGTATGGCCATGATATGATATAATAGCTAAGAGCACGGTAAAATCTCATTCACTCAGCACAGTTCTGGTAGAGATTTTCAATATTCACTTTACACCTACGTAAGATTCAAATCCCCATAATAGAAACTGCGATAAAATTATTTTTTAAATAAAAGTATGTACATGTATTACAATCCTGGTGCATTTCAGTAACACGCCCCCTCCACGTGAACGTAACATGACGTCATAAATCACCTCATGACGACAAATATATCCGAATCTCGCTCCGCTGGTGAAAAGTCTCGCAAGCTTTATGACCGCAACAGACGGGGACAACCAGGGCGTGAACAGTAAAATGAGCAAAGTCGAAAAAAACTTTCGATTTTTCTGACACCGTTACCCAATTGGCGGATACGGTTACGAGCAAACCCCTCGTCTGGTTGACTGGAATCCAGGAGTTTGGCGAACTCGAACGTATCACGACTCGGCTAAACACACAAACATACTCCCGAGATGCCATGGCGTTTAAGTAATATTTTGAAATTCGATCCATCATATTTTGGAAATCTGGCAAATCTGTTCTTTTAAGTTATTTTGAAAACGTAAACAGTTTTATGAGGTATAAATGCATTCTGACGCGAGGGGGTTAGCGGATCTGAGAGTATATTACCCTTGAACGCCGGCGCTGCGATAGCTGATGCAGATAGGGAGGAGTAGGGATGCTATTATGTACCATTGTCTTCTCCTATAATGCTTATGGTGACATATATCTGCCTGTAGAAACAATACAAACTAATGGAGCTCGTCTAACGATGCCTGCACCCAATAATGAAGTGTATGTTTTGCAGTTTTAACAACCGTCACTGCGCTTGACTGCACGTTGTAGAAAGGCGGAACCAGTCAAACAGTACGTTCTCCCCATCACGTCTTAAACTCTAGCGTAATAATGAGGTTATCGTTAATCTACGACTACCCGTACTCCACTACTCTCTTAGCACTGCGGTCGTTTTAAATCTGCACTACCCACGCCCTGTGATCTCTTGAACGCTACGACTATTCAAAATTTATGTCTCTCATACTGAACATTTTCCAAACATTCGACAGTCCTAGAATCACGATTTTAGGTTTACAATTATCCTGCCTCTAAAAGCTATTCGAATTTTCCGACTATCCTGACACTGCGATCTTTCACAATTTCCTACTATCCCAGTTCTGTGAACTTTTGAATTATTTGACAATCTTCACCCATCGCTGTTTCGAAATCTTTTATTATTCCAGCACTACAATCTTTCGAACTCTGCAGCTATTCGATTTCTGCGACTATCCTAGCTCTGACCTTTTACATTCTTTAACTTTCGAACTCTGTTACAATCCAAACTCTACGACTATCCTATCAACGGGATCTATTGCATCCTGTGACTATTTAAACTCTACGACTATCCCAGTTCTTCGATCTTTCCAACTCTACCGACTATCCCAGTTCTTCGATCTTTCCAACTCTACCGACTATTCGAACTCTTCGACTTTTCAAGCTCGCGATCCATAACTTATTTTACTTGCGATCTATATTTTGACTATCAATATATACACCTATTTTTGCTTTAGGGCTATCGTGTCTCCTACAAATTTCTTCGACTTTTTAAATTCTGCGAATTTTGCAATTCTAGGACTATCCTAGACTAATGGATAGTCTCTGAAACTATATAATTTTGATAGTAACATATAAGCCCATTTAAATTGAAAAGGAGCCCCAGGGAGACCAGAGATTCCTGGGGAAATCTAGACTTGCTTCATTTAGGGCTTTAGCACTGCAGAGAGGGCTTGGCAGTAGGGAAAATAATGTGGTTCAGGGACTGTGAGACAGACTAGGACTATCCCAGCGCAGCACTTTGTTGAAAACACAACTATCCAAACCTAACAGCCCCCATAACTCCGACACTTGTAGGGAGACATGGTAGATCTACAGCTGTGTCAGCTGCCGCACGCCTTGTGAAATGGGCTCCAGCAATTAGCAGGAGGGTTGGTCCGGCCAGTTATACCATGTCCAGATATTATTTACTGTGCGGTGGCTATTTAGCTAATTAAAGCAGTTAAGCCATGCTGATATTGCCGACAGCTGTGGCAGGTTAAACTGTTTGGCATTATACATCAAGAATAAAGAAAAAGGAGTTTCATTGCAAGGTACTAAAATAGAACTTCCACTCACTAATTCACTCACCCGAAGATGCAGTCATCATCCACCCATCTATTCATCTAAACATCCATTCACTCACTCACTCAACCTCCCAAACATCCACTCTCTCAACTAAACATTCACTCACCTACCCGCTCTCTAACCGATCCAATCAACTCACTCACTCAGTCGCCCACCCACTTACTGACTCAACTATTCAAGCATTCACTCACTCACTCATCTATTCAACCACCCACCCATTCATTCACCCACCCTCCATCCAATTATTCACTCAACTATTCAAGCATCCATATTCTCGCAACTATACATCCACCCATCCACTCACTCACTCAACTATTCACCTATTTTCACTCAAACACCTTTTCACTCAGCTATTCGTCTGTTCACTCACTCACTCATCTAAACACAGTCTCACAGCTCAGTTAGTGTACATGGGAAGCTTCCAACCATCTTTTACTCTCTTTTTCAAGGAATATGAGAAAGCAACAAAGCTCGATAGCCCGTGCATTGTGCAGCTGTAATCAGGTGGAACAAATGTGCAAGTGACTGATGTACTCATCTCTTCTCCTTCTCAAAAGATCATCCCGGGTCAGTTGGTTCTTGGATTTCGGATCTGACGGAGTTATAAGACAGCAGCACGGCATGAAGGAATGCTGAAGCCATCCTTGCCATGTTTTCCTGTTTCCGCTGCGCGTGTTACTGACCATGCTCAACTGACCCTGCCTCTCGACCATGCATCTCACCCCCTCTTTCTGTCTGCCCCTCCCCCGTAACCCTCATGTTGTGAACCGCAGCACAAGCGGCAGCAGCAACACCACGTCGGGGTTAGAATTCGTTCTCCCTCATCTTGACCTTGTCTCGACCTTGCGTCTCACCACTCTATTTGTCCTCCTTCAACGTACACCTCAATCCCAATCAACACACGCACACGCACACACACACGCGCGCGCGCACGTAGATAAACACACGCGCATATACTATGAGTGAGTGGATTTAGTTTTACGCCGCACTCAGCAATATTCCAGCTTTATGGAGGCGGTCTGTAAATAATCGAGTCTGAACCAGACAATACAGTGATCAACAGCATGAACACACACAATGGCTCCTGGAAAAAAGGAATGACTCCTAGAGAAAAGGAAACCTGGTTAAACTATTTAATTCACATTATGTCGATAACTCGGTCAACATCAATAGACACACTACCAAAGAGTAATTTAGAGGACAACCAAGTTAGCGTTCCTGACCACCTGATCCTGCTCTCTCCCAGAATATAGTCTGAAGGTCAAACACAAGTATTGGAGGTTGAGATGATTGAGCAAGCCTAGATTGTCTAAGCTCTGGGAAGTTGCGAATTACTGCTGCTGTTGGATTGTCTATATTTAGGATTTTTGTTGTTGTACATTAAAGTATATTCGTGGGACTAAATTTCCTTCTACCTGATCCCGTTAGTCGCCCTTTACTGAGCATGGTTTGCTGCAGAAAATTCACGGGGTATCCGGCCCTTAGTGGAACATATCTCGTTCCATATTACACCTTTACTACGTAGATCAAGTACAAGTTGGGCGCATATTGTGGCACTACGTAGATCATGTACAAGTTGGGCGCATATTGTGGCACTACGTAGATCATGTACAAGTTGGGCGCATATTGTGGCACTACGTAGATCATGTACAAGTTGGGCGCATATTGTGGCACAACGTAGATCATGTACAAGTTGGGCGCATATTGTGGCACTACGTAGACGTAGATCATGTACAAGTTGGGCGCATATTGTGGCACTACGTAGATCTACGTAGATCAAGTTGGGCGCATATTGTGGCACTAAGTTACAAGTTGGGCGCATATTGTGGCACTACGTAGATCATGTACAAGTTTGGCACTACGTAGATCATGTACAAGTTGGGCGCATATTGTGGCACTACGTAGATCATGTACAAGTTGGGCGCATATTGTGGCACTACGTAGATCATGTACAAGTTGGGCGCATATTGTGGCACTACGTAGATCATGTACAAGTTGGGCGCATATTGTGGCACTACGTAGATCATGTACAAGTTGGGCGCATATTGTGGCACTACGTAGATCATGTACAAGTTGGGCGCATATTGTGGCACTACGTAGATCATGTACAAGTTGGGCGCATATTGTGGCACTACGTAGATCAAGTACAAGTTGGGCGCATATTGTGGCACTACGTAGATCATGTACAAGTTGGGCGCATATTGTGGCACTACGTAGATCATGTACAAGTTGGGCGCATATTGTGGCACAATGTAGATCATGTACAAGTTTGGCACTACGTAGATCATGTACAAGTTGGGCGCATATTGTGGCACTACGTAGATCATGTACAAGTTGGGCGCATATTGTGGCACTACGTAGATCATGTACAAGTTGGGCGCATATTGTGGCACTACGTAGATCATGTACAAGTTGGGCGCATATTGTGGCACAACGTAGATCATGTACAAGTTTGGCGCATATTGTGGCACTACGTAGATCATGTACAAGTTGGGCGCATATTGTGGCACTACGTAGATCAAGTACAAGTTGGGCGCATATTGTTGCACTACGTAGATCATGTAAACGTTGGGCGCATATTGTGGCACTACGTAGATCATGTAAATGTTGGATGCACTACCATCAAGACAGATATTACCCCCCTCCTCACCTCCCTGATGACAATCGGATGAGGAACGCTGACCGAATGCCCATCAGCCAGGTCATTTGAGATGACCGATCTGGGCTCAGCTGCCGCGTCAGCTGTTCATCTGGTCAGCACACGCCCAGCATACCTTCAGCCTCAATTACCGCCAGCAGCTACACTTGGAGGTGAGGTGATACAATCAAGGTCGGAGGAGGTGATGCTGCGGTATGTCCACCTGTGTCCACATCGGACCATTGTATATTTCCTCATTGACTGTATGTAGATATAATGTTCTATGTTCTCCTGAAATCACAATAAAACCCAACGAATTGCAATTTTTCTCGCGTTGGTGCGTTTCCCCTTTCTGTACTTCTGTTTTGAGTTTGTTGGTATTCTGGTCTCACAGTCCTAGCCCCTCCTTGCAATGCTAAAGCCCTAAACGAAGTAAGTCTAGATTTCCTCAGGTTCAGCGTTAGTCTAGCGAACATACCTGTGTGTATATATGTGTGTGTGTGTGTGTGTGCGTGCGTGCGTGCCCGCGTGTGCGTGCGTGTGCGTGTGCGCGTGCGCGCGTGCGAGTGTGTGAACGTGTGTGCGTGTGTTTGTGAGTGTGAGCGTGTGCGTGTGATTGTGTGTGTGCGCGCGCGCGTGTGCGTGTGTGTGCGTGTGTTTGGTAGACATCAATATCACTCGGGGGTTGTACATGTACTCCAATGCTAAGCATCACAAACAAGCATCTATGCCATAAAACCAGAAGCACAGACTGACGTGCAGTATTTAGAAAATAAACCCGGTGCTAGAGGCAACATATCCGAGGTGGGCGGCGCTAATAGCGGGATGAGGAGGTGTACACATCGAGATGTGCAAACTCATTTATCATCATGTACAAATCAGGCATGGTACTGGGATCATCTAATAATGCACATTAAAGTATGATCGCTGTAATATAGACCATCCACAACACAACGTCTGTGCAGACTTTTAGCTTCTGCTAAATTAGAATTTGGTCGGAGGAAGAATTGGAACTGAAATATGAAAGCAAAATAAACACAGGACCTTCGTGGCGAAACATATTTTAAATACTTTGTCAACCGATTGTTATGACGCCTACTTTAGCAATAGTATCGCGATTACAGGCGTGGTTTTAGATAAGCCGTGTGTCACGGGAAGATACGTCAGGCGTATAACAGAAGCCTGGAATCTGGACCAGCTACAGATGCGAGATGATAGACATGCTGACGATACTGATGATGGTGATGATGATGTTACTGCTGCTGCTGATGTCGTTGATGATAGTAAGGATGAGGTCGAGGGTGTTGATCATGATGAGGACGATGATGTTGAAGGTGGTGATACGATGAAGTTGAGTGTGTTGATGATGGTGAGATGGCGATGATGGTGAGGATGAGGATGAGAATGAGGTCGAGGGTGTTGATCATGATGAGGACTATGATGTTGAAGGTGTTGATGACGATGAAGTTGAGTGTGTTGATGAGATGGCGATGTCGATGATGGTGAGGATGAGAATGAGGTCGAGGGTGTTGGTCATGATGAGGATGATAATGTTGAGGATGGTGTTGAAGATGTTGCTGAGGGTGAGGGTGATGATGTTGTGGATGATGAGGGTAATAATAAGGGTGATATTGAACGTGGTGAGGCAGATAATAATCACGATGTTTTGATAATGATGATGATGATGTTGATGATGGTGACGAACAGGAGGCGGAGGATCGTGCTTGGGATGCGTATATAAGCGTTAAAGAAGCCTCGATATGTGTTGTTTGTTAATGCCCCTCTCGGGACTGTTACCGACAGTATGATCCTGTGTATAATATAGCACTAGGCATACCTGGCACCCAGCACTCACTGAAGGATACATACACCCCTCCCTGGGGATGTACTCGTTCACAGAGTGCGCGTGTTTGAAGGGAAGTCTGGAAAGAAGACAACCCGAGAAGTGGACGTTTGGTGGACTTGAGTCGGGATCATCCGTTAACTAACTTCCGTCAGAACTGTGTTGTTTTGTTTTCACCACCACGGTAGGAGTTTCAGTAACAGAAGTAACGGAGAGGTACCATAGTTCCCCGTTGGCGTTGTTGTTGTTGAGGATGTTGCTGATTTCACCATCTGTCGGAGTTGTTTAGACTGGCCTCGGGTCAGCTGACCCCAGCGTCCTTGGGTCTCCCTATCGTCTTGCTCCCTCCCTCACCACCTGTCACACTCACACCACACACACACACACACACACACACTGACACACACACACACACACACACACACACACACACACACACACACACACACACACACACACACAGCACACACACACACAAAGCACGCGCGCACACACGCACACACACTATATTGTAGGTGGTAAAATTCAAGACCTATCGAATTTCGGGCAATCCTCCCACACCAAAACCACACCCGACAACATCACAAATTCACTCATGTTCACTTGCTGACATACGCGCACGCACACACGCACTACTCAACATGGCACGCGCGCATGTATGCACACAAACAAACAAAAACAAACACTCACGCACATACATACTCACTCACTCACACTCACTAACTCACTCACTCACACACATCCACACTCTCACACCAGAGACCATAATCTAATATATGGTCTCTGCTCACACTCACTAACTCAGTCACTCACACAAACACATTACAATCATCTTCTCCAGGTGCCAAACACACTCACTAACTCAGTCACTCACACAAACACATTACAATCATCTTCTCCAGGTGCCAAACACACTCACACGTGTTTTCACAAGAAAACTTTTCTGTTCAACTACTTAAAACACAGAGTAGGAACTCTATCGTTTCACCATGCCTCCACACTCTGCCAGAACTTCTCAAAAACATTACACTGAGTACAAAATGCCAAAATTATCACCATATATATCATTGAAGTGATTCAAACTATCGTTTTATGTTACAACACGCTAAACAGTGACCTGTGATGCTGGGTATTATCATGATGTCTTATACTAGACCAGCAAAGGTTATCGCTGCCATGTTGTAGTATGGAAGGACCATGATCAAAGGTAACACACCTGGCTCTACACTGTTCACTGCCTCCATGGTCTAGTGGGTAGAGTGGCAGCCCGCTAGTGGAAAGTCTGAGGTTCGATTCCCTGGCTGCATGATCAAAGATGGCGTTAACAGATTATACTTACCCTTCTTTGTGTGGCATTAAGGGTCAACTAGTCAGTATATAGTGTGTGGGAGGTTAAACTCAGGTGAGATAACGCAGTGGGCCAGCACACGCACGCACGCACGCACGCACACACTTATTTAAACCAGTTTCACTTCACCTTTCTTACACGAGTATCTAGGAATGTATATTGCTGTCTCATCGCCATAATACATTATACCACTTTAGGTTTACATTCTATACACTGACTCACCACGATGCCAAAAACATACCGCTGAAGCTGAGTAACATTTAAACACGATGCCTATTAATTACAGTACCGCAGAAATTAAGACGAATTTAAAGATTGTAAGTTGTTTTCACTCATTACTCACGTATTAAATGTGAATATTAGCAGAACATAACTCCAGATTCAAAGACAGGTGAACAGTTAATATTTTGTCAAGTCACCATGGGCAGCAATGCAGGCTTCAATGTGCCGGGGCATACTACTGATCAAAGAAGTTAGAAAGTCGTGGTCGATGCTGTCCCAATATCGGACCACCTCTTCTTTCGTTTCAGCAATATTTGTCAGATTTTTCCATTGACATTTTCCTTCATAAGTCCCCAAATACATGTATTTTCTATTGGAGTTAGGTCAGGGCTATAGCTTCTACCGCCAATCTAATAATGTCATATTTTGGGTCCGAAACCAGGCCTGTGAATGCTTTGAACGGTGTTTTGGGTCGTTGTCCTGCTGGAAAATCCAAAACATTTCCATAGAACATGTGAGCAGATGGAAGTAAATGTCCCTCGAGAATATATGTGTACCGCTCACTGTTCATATTCCCTTCAATACACAGAGGGCGTTGCCCTAACACAGATATGCCACCCCACACGTTAAATTTCGGACTGTACTTTGGGCGCTGATACAAAGGTTTTTCAGTTTGTTTGGTCCAGAATTTCAGTGTATTAGGAAACAGCCACACAGGACTTTCATCTGAGAAAATCACATTGTCCCAGTTAAAATTTCTATGCTGTAAGCACCAGTTCAACCTTCGCTCCTTTTGTTCAGGTTTCATGATCGGTGATAGAATTCCTCGACTTTTCTGCCAACCCACTGCATGCAGCTCAGTTCTAATTGTCTCTCCTTACAGACAGCCACAGTTCCTCTATCAATCATATCCAGCCTTAAGTTTTCTAAACTCCTTCGTTTGTTTTTAGAAACAAGAATACCAAGCCGCCTCTTGTCACCGACAGTCAATTTTCTGGGCCTACCTGCGCCTCCCTGGTGCTCAATGCCATATCCATTTGCAATATTTTTCAAAACACGATAAACAGTGGACAAAGGGATGCCTGTTATAAATGAAATCACTTTAGCTGATCTGATGTCCTTGTTATAATACTCTAAAATCAACTTCCTCTTCTCTAAATCATCCATACTGAGGATCACTGTAAATGTCGTCTGCTAGTAAGTAAACAAAGGGGATAACTCTTCACAAACTAATGAAAATGGATTAACGGAGTTGTCTCTCTTGAATGAAACCAAGCACTTGATACCGGGTCAAGGTTGTTTATACTAGAAATCCAATTAAACATATTCCTAAAATTCTCAATAATTTCTGGTCATACTATAATACCAGTTTCCTGGAGTACGTCATAGATGTGTCATGTATGTGACAACCACCGTCATCATCATCATCGTCGTCGTCATCATCATCGTCGTCATCATCGTCGTCGTCATCGTCATCATCATCGTCGTCATCATCTTCTTCTTCTTTTCT